TGATGTAGTTATCAAATTTAAGTGAAGAATAGACATCTTATAAGAAGGGAGGATGTTGGAGAATGAAAGATCGTTTCAGATGATCCCTTAGACAAGTTGAGAGATGCTAAAAGTTGAGTTTGTTTTGTGATAAATTGGAAAAAGGAGGTATTTGGCAAAATCTTAGGATTAAGAAATTGAGAAGCGAATATATGAAACAATAAAATTAGAGAATAAATTAATTTCTTGCTTTATTTTCAGAATCGTGATGATCATTTATATAAATTTTATTAAAAGATATGAATAAATAACGCAAGACACAATTGGAGGAGTTATAGGAGAAAGAGAGTAGCTTTGGTAGAGTGTTCAAAGTGGCTGGTCCATGTAATTGGTGTTCATTAATTTAATAGTGGTTGTTGCAGAGAAGATGGCAGGTGCTAAGATGTTTGAGTTAGTGAAGGTTGGTTGGGATAAGCTTGTAGGTGAAATCATTAAATTGGAAGGAGATAATGCATCTATTCAATGTTACGAAGATACATGTACTCACAATAAGTAATTATGATTAGCTGGTTTGACTGTGGGTGATCCTGTGATGAGAACAAAGTCTCCTCTTTCAGTCGAATTAGGACCAGGTATTTAATACATAAATATCTAGGTATTTTAACATAAATTTTTGATGGAATTCAAAGACCATTATAAGTCATAGCAGAATAATCATCTTCCATTTTTGTGCCCAGAGGTGTTGATATTCCAGCATTGGATCAAGATAGAATCTGGGAATTCAAACCATCTTCACTAGTTAAAGTAGGTTCAATGATCTCTGGAGGTGACATCTATGGATCAGTCTTTGAAAACAATCTTTTTGATGAACATAAAATCTTGACAGCCCCCAGAGTCTAAGGCAGAGTCACTTACATTGCACCTGAGGGCAATTATACACTCAAAGACAAAGTTCTAGAAGTAGAATTGGATGGCAAGAAACATCAATATGGAATGAGTCACTTCTGGCCTGTCAGACAACCCAGACCCATCATTGAGAAATTGTAAGGTAATACACCACTCCTTACTGGGTAAAGAGTACTTGATGCACTCTATCCATCAGTCTTGGGAGGTACTTGCTGTATTCCAGGAGCTTTTGGATGCGGCAAGACTTGTATTTCTTAGGCACTCTCCAAATATTCCAATTCTGAATGTATCATCTACGTTGGATGTGGAGAAAGAGGAAATGAGATGGCTGAAGTGCTCAGTGAATTCCCAGAATTGACTATTCAAATGAAGGGTAAGGAAGAAAACATTATGTAACGTACTTGTTTGGTTGCTAACACTTCCAATATGCCAGTCGCTGCCAGAGAAGCCTCCATCTACACAGGAATCACATTGGCAGAATATTTCAGAGATATGGGTTTCAATGTGTCTATGATGGCTGATTCTACTTCCAGATGGGCAGAAGCCTTGAGAGAAATCTCTGGTAGATTGGCAGAAATGCCTGCAGATCAAGGTTATCCTGCTTATTTAGCATCTAAACTCGCACAATTCTACGAAAGAGCTGGAAGAGTCAGATGCAGAGGTTCACCTGACAGAGAAGGATCCATTACTATTGTCGGTGCTGTGTCACCTCCAGGAGGAGTATATACTTATTTATTATCCTTAGGATTTCACAGATCCTGTTACTACTGCCACTCTCACAATTGTCTAAGTCTTTTGGGGATTGGATAAGAAATTAGCACAAAGAAAGCATTTCCCATCTGTCAATTGGACCATTTCCAATTCCAATTATGAAAAGATTCTTGAACCATATTTCAATGCCTTCGATCCAGAGTTTTCTCATTTGAGAGTTATGTTCAAATAGATCCTACATGAAGAATCAGAATTGAATGAAATTGTCCAATTGGTAGGTAGAGACTCCCTTTCAGAAGATCAAAAATTGTCATTGGAAGTAATACTTTACCAATATCTTCTTAGATTGCTAAAATTATCAGAGAAGATTTCTTATAACAAGATGCTTTCAGTAAATACGATTACAATTGTCCACTTTACAAAACTATTGGTATGATGAGATGCATCGTTTCCTTCTTTGAATGTGGTAAAAAGGCCATTCTTGAATCTTCAGGAGATGCCAAAATTACTTGGAATATCATATTGAATCAAACTAAGCCACAATTTGTCAAGCTATCATAAATGAAATTTGAGGTATTAACTTTATTAGATTATTATAGGATCCAAAATAACCAAAATAAGAATTAATGAATTATTTCACTAAATTTGTTGATGAAATTAAATCAGCTTTTAGAAATTTAACAGATAAATGAGTATTATTAAAATTACATAAACAATTATCATCTATTCTTAGATCAATAAATGGTAAATACCAATTAAGTTCCTATTTAAGTGTGAAGTATATAAAAATATATTATGAATGTTACATTAATATATCAATTCTTAGCCATATTTTGACATTCTGATATGAAATATTAGTTAAAAGGTTTTATCATTAATTATACATAAAAATGGTTTAAATGACTAAAATATGTGAAATTTAATCAGATTTTTCATATACACCTCCTAACTTGGATATAAAACAAAAATAATAAGTGAAACAGGGGAACTATATTCTCTACTTACTATTTTTGGTTTTTAATACATTCATATAAATTTGTAAAGTTTTGTTAACTTAATTTATAAGAGTCAATCTATACCATTTACGTGTTAGTATAACTATTTTAAATATAATTAATTTCACACTTCATCAAATCTAACCTTCTTTTAATTCTGATTAAAATTAGCCTTGATGCGAAACAAACTATATTTTGTTTCTTTCTTCAAGATAGTCTTTTTAGATCCAAGTGAAATTACTTCACACGAATCCCTCATTATAGGTTTATCTTTAACAGCATTTTCAGTTAATTGTATTGAATCGACTCTATCCATGTCGCCAGTTAGCTCCTAAATTTCTAAACTACTCGCTGCTATTCTATTATACTCTTTTCCAGTATCGTCTATCATTAAGGATCCATTATTTTAGTAAGATTGTATTCTCTCATTTTCCTTATTCTAATCTGTACTACTTAAATTACTATTTTTGTTTAATATCGAAGCTTTGCTCTTTAATCTAATCTTTTCTTGCTATTATAGCTCGATTTTGTCATCGCCTTATGCTTAGCAACAACTTGATCCCATAAGTTTTAATTTAATATAAATTATATTCCCTATATGCAAATTCAAATGCATTAAGAAATTTGCTTCACCATTCTACAAGTTAGAACCAAGATTAGAATTAAGAAAAATTCATATTAGTCATTTTTTTAGAAGAAATTATTTGATTAAAAAATATACTAAAATCCAAAAAATTATCTACCAGTGCATTACTTTAAAGTGGTACAATTTGTATGAAAAGAGTAAATACACTATATTGTCTCAATAAACTACTCAGATCGCTTTGGGATGAAGGATATTGATAGGCGCACTCCGAATATGCATGTTAAACACCAAAGAATATGAAAAAGGGTGATATTGGATTCATGATTATCAAGTCTCAAATTTTTAATTTTATTCGGGGGGAAATGCTGATACTCTCTTCTTGCACACTTCTGCATACTTATTTGATCAGTTTCATTATTGATCTTGAAGTTCTTTTTAAAACTAAATTTTTTTCCAAAAAATTATACTTATTTAGAAATCACAAATGAAAATGAGAGGAGAATTGTCAGTTTCATTTATGTTTAAATTTATATTTTTGAAAAGTTAAATTTGTGAATACGGTATTTAGACAATAATGAATTTAGTTCCGAATCATAAAATATTAAACTCTTTCATAATTAAGATTTATTACATAAAACAATGTTAATATTTACCTTAATTAAAAATGATAATACTAATCATAATAATCCACATAACTCATCAAATCGTGATTTATGAGTTTGATGCTAATCCTAACATTTTCGATGGTAAATTCATATAGTTTACATGTTATATTAGGATGGGAGAAACTTAATGATAATTCTAATTTCAATAATTGTGGAGGCATCCAATATTTTGGTTCTCCTAATAATTTATAATATCTAATTAGCAGGATCTTTTTAGATCTAGAACCTCATTCTCATATTAGATTGGATGCACAATTTCTAAGGTATGTATTATTCTTAATTACAAAAGTATTGATAACAATGCTCAACCAACAGTTAAAATAGACTCTTAAATAACAAATTATGTGGCAACGGTAACATCTTAAAATTCGATATGTAGCGGTGCATCACCGGAATTTTTGCATACTGTTTCTATTAATTATTATCATAATAGAAGAACAGCTTGGATATCTATTTATTCGAATTATGGAGGATTAATATCATTAAAATTAAGTATCATAAAATGCTAGAATGAATGTGCTGAATGCATTGAGAATTATCATACAACTTGTTAATAATGGAAACTACATTAATATTCCTTTAATAAGAAATTAATCACATACTCTGATGGATGGAATTTATAAACTTATACTCTTTAACATTCAAGTGATTGCGGGGGGTGCGAATATATGAGAATAACTTATGTTACATATTAAACCGAACTACCTCCTCATCAAAATGTGTTAATAAGGTTTTTTAAATTAGGGGGGTAGACTATAATAGTAAACTATTAATATGGTAAATCAACTACTAGTGGTTCCTATTTAATAGAAATATTAATCAAAAATCATCAAGATCCTATATTAAAACTGATAATTACAACTTCATCTTCATCAAATATGGTAAGAGATTTTGAAGTATTTTATACTTAGCCAGAAATTATGTTTAAGAATTTGAAAGTAGGTTGTTTAGAATAAATAAATGATAATTGTTTAATTTGTCAAGAAGGTTGGATTTAAGATGAATTTCTAGAAAACTGTCATCCAATTTGTGGGGATGGAATCATTCAAGGTTAAGAATAATGTGATAGTCTAATACTCTAATCATTCTTGCTATTAATGCAAGCATTC